CGAGAACACTCTTTCTATTTTTAAGCACCTCATTTATCTATACCCGTCCAAATGACTCTTATTCTCTACGTCTTTCGATTATCTTCATCTAAGTAAACTTTAGCTTAAAACAGAAATCTACTCGTGGTGGACATGTTCTCTCTATGAAGTATCTGGGGCGGGGGCTCATTGCTTTAGGAGCCGGCTCTGTTATCGACCCAGAGTGAACAATTCTACGAGGGGGGTACTCTGCCGATTCGGTGGAGACGGCCCGACTTCTGAGATCGGAGCTTTGTGCTCGAGAGAGGAGGAGTACCCCAAACCACTTCCGAGAGATGAGATATGCAACACTTTAAGTAATACACCTGATTAAGAATCATCCGCAAAACAACTTATAATCAAATAAGACTAAAATATATGAGGGCGGGTGTGTGCGTGCTCAATCTTAAGTCGACGGTACGTGGGAATGAATGACTTTGGCAACACGTCTCATTAAGTCAGAACTGGGGCAGTCCAATTACCTTATGGGCTGCATCGAGGTTATTGTCAAAGCCAACTCTTCATTGGCGGCTCAGTATGATTTTTTTTGTTCATCGAGTTTGACCCAAGGTGGTTGTTTTTTTTTTTCAATCTTGCGTTATTAATTCTACTATGGTGCTTAGGTTCTGTCAATTATCGTTTCAACTTATGTTGAATCGCATATATATGCTTATCGACTACGATCAATTCGTTTTAATATAACCGAGCGCCGTTATTCTCACTTTTTTTTTGCAAGTGTTTAAGGGACTAAGATTGAGTTCTGGGTTTCACGATTGGTTGAGACCGTCCTTGTCGATCAACATTCGTTTCATACCTAGGAGATTAGTGTCGTAGGGAACAGTTGACGCCTGGGTTCAGATGTCGTTTAACCAAGCGTACCTATACTGCAGCGAGCGAGCAAACGCCCTCGGCTGACCTACCTCAGCGTTTGCATTTAAAAACTTCCGTACGTGGGTCAGTACCTCGGTAGGGATATGCCCCGAAGGATGGTGACAACCCTTTAAGGAAGGTAGGTTGTGCCCCACGGAAACCTATCTTGTCATAGGGGACCACGGAAAGTACAGTTGGCGCATCTTACTAGAGCGGCAAGGTGACAACGCACCCGCGTCCGTCTCAACAGTTTGCGAGATCATTCACGCGTTGTCCCTAAGTTGTCTCTCATTTTGTTGGTTTAACTTCTGTGTCAGGAGGCCCCTCGCCCTTTGTGAAAAAGGTTGAGGCTGATGCGCTCGACAACGCCACCATGGGCGGGACCATGGCTTATCGTCTTCACCGCTGTAACTCCCGTTGCGGTAGCAGGAGATCCACTCGATGGGTCGAAAGTCGCAAGCTCGTTCAACCAACAACGCAGAGCCACGAGTGCTCCGTTGGTGGCGCAACCCCCAATGAAGGCATTTTCCCTTCACCCTGAGGCTCTTTTGCCCTATGCCAACCCTAGTGTGAACATTTTCCATAGTAGAAATCCCTCACCATGGGCAAGGCTTCACTACTCGGCAGAAGTGCAAAATGAAACAAATCTTAGCATAGGATGTGTTTTCAGAGTTTACCGAATCAGCGCCTCGCGGACTTGTTATGGATGATAATCCATGTGGTGGTCCCAACCTTACAACAGATAACAACAAAGTCAAGGTACCGAAACTCGTCATGCACTATCTGTTGTTCCCACGAAGAGACACTGCCACACCTATTCATCGACTACGTGTGCGTGGAGTTCTGGAGATGCGTTTAGTCACGGTCAAGTTTCAAATGGCCGAAAGGAATTCGGCCAGTTTGAAAATGAGATTTTACAGGTTTGTATCATCCTCCGTAGTTATGTGGTTCATGTATTAAAAAATAAAAATAAAAAAATCAAGCACTGCGTGACTTCCTCAACGCCATTTCACGTAAGGAGATTCAAGCAGAGCATGACTTCCCAAGAGGCGTGTCACGTTTTTCGCAGGCGGGGGGCAATAGTGTGCAGACAACCATTTCATGTTTGTTTTTGCCTTTACCAAGTCGCATTGTACTTGAATGGCCATTTCGTTTTTTTTTTTGCTTTCTAAACCCTAAACCGGTCGGATCTGCACTTATTAAAAAACAAAGTAAAACGGAAAGAAGAGAGAGAAAGGCATAGAGAGATGTCTCCCTGTCTCTTAGTGGTGTGAACTGAAGAAAAGATAAGACCAAAAAAAGAACGAACTATCCCTATAACATTGGAAGATACACCGCAATGTTTTTTTTTTTTGTTCATGTCGTGAGTAGTGGAGGGAAGGCCCTGTGATGTTCTAATGTTATTTTTCGATGTGAAATATAACCGCAACTACCGACATTCATCATCAGGGTGTGTTGTGTAGGGGGAAAGGCGGTAGTGGAGCAGTGACCGTGGAGGGGATCGACTCGGCTATCCAAGGGGTTAAACAATTAGTTTTTTCTTTTTTTTTCTTTTTTTTTTTTGCCAAATTCACTCTTTTAATACCTACCTACCACTACTCCTAAGCGTATACAAGGGACCCCTGCAACTATTTCTTAGGGCCTAGTTGTCCTACTCGCCATCCATGAAATTCGGCAAGTAGCGTGTGGTTGCACTTACTCGCCAAACCTGGCATCGAGAGAACCTGTTAGAAAGCTCTCTACCTACGTGACCCCCACGGCCGCGGATCTCGCGGCTGATGCCGCGCTACCGACTATTTCTGAGGTTGCGCCACTCGCAGACAGAGGAGCGCACGATTTTCGGCGCGCGCATCACCTGCGCATGGCGTCCCCCGCCAGAATCAACTAAAAAAAAAAAAGTAAAATGTGGGAGGGGTCGTTTTCAGATAAATAATAACCCCCAACAAAGATAAGGTTTTTTTTTTTTAATGTTGTTTCTCTCTCTCTCTTTCACTGTCTCTCTCTGTCTCTCTTTGTCTCTCTCTCTGTCTCTCTGTCTGTCTGTCTGTCTCTCTCTCTCTCTCTCTCTCTCTCTCTCTCTCTCTCTCTCTCTCTCTCTCTCTCTC